TGTGTGTAATAAGTATGTCATGTATAAGGGTACTTATACCACATAAAATAACTAGTCTACTGCACAACTAGGCCATATGGTCTAACTTATTGCTCCTAGGCTACAAGCTTGTATAGCGTGCAGCTATACTGAATACTGTAGGCAATTGTAACATAATGGTATTTGTGTATCTAAACATATGTGAACATATAAAAAGTTCAGTCAAGCTATAGTATAAAGAGAAAAAAAATGTTACGCCTGTGCCTGTATCATGGCACTTACCATGAATAGAGGTTACCTTTGCTGTGGGGGAGTCAGTGAATGAGTGGTGAATATGCATGTAAAGGTCTAGGACACTACTGTGGACTTTATATAAACACTATACACTTAGACTACTTTAAATCTATTTTAATTTTTCTTCATTAATAAATTAATCTTAGATTACTGTAATATTTTACTTTATGAACTTTTTACTTAACTTTTTGACTCTTTTGTGATGACACTTAAAATAAACACATTGAGCCGGGCTCGGTGGCTCAGCCTGTAATCCTGTGCCTTTGGGAGGCTGAGGTGAGTGGATTGCCTGAGCCCGCAGGTTCGAGACCCGCCTGGGCAGCGAGACTTCATCTCTACAATAAATCAAAAAATCAACTGGGCGTGGTAGCTCATGCCTGTAATTTCAGCTACTTGGAAGGCTGAGGTGGAAGGATCGCCAGAGTCCAGCAGCTCGAGGCTGCGGTGGCCGGGAGTGGCCACTGCACTCCAGTCTGGGCGACTGAGTGAGACTCCAACTCAAAAAAAAAAGAGAGACAGTTGAGAAGAGATTTGACTGCTTTACACTAGGCAGATCAGTTTGAGGAGAGACAACACATGGATGCTGAGGACCTGGACAGTGTATTCTTTTAAAATTACCTACTTTAGCCGGGCTCGGTGGCTCAGCCTGTAATCGCGCCTTTGGGAGGCTGAGGTGAGTGGATTGCCTGAGACCGCGGGTTTGAGACCCGCCTGTGCAGTGAGACCTCATCTCTACAATAAATAAAAAAATCAGCCGGGCGTGGTAGCGCATGCCTGTAATTCCGGCTACTTAGAAGGCTGAGGCAGAAGGATCGCCGGAGCCCAGCAGGTCGAGGCTGCGGTGGCCGGGAGCGGCCACTGCACTCCAGTCTAGGCGACCGAGTGAGATTCCAACTCAAAAAAAATAAAATAAAATTACCTACTTTGCTGTGACATGGGTACCTCTTTTATCCCTTTCTGCAAAAACCTGTGAAAACCCCTGGATGTCTGTAGCTCAGTTTAAAAACTGCCTTAGAGAGCATGAAATGTTGTGGGGAAAGATCTAATCAGAGCTGGAGGTAAGCCCTGGCCCTCGCCTAGACCATCGGTTTGCTCTGGGACATGGGGTTCTGAATGCAAAGGAACTAGATGGGGCCTGGTGTCAGTGCTGACCTGGTTTTCTCTGCCTCTGCATTCAGGGCCTACCTCTTCTGAAGACTGGAGCAGTTCCAGGACTGGTCCCAGAACAGAGCTGATATGGGTATCACCAGACTCTTACTAAAAGTGTGCTTATCCCCTACTCTCTTGATGTCTTATTTGCTGGAAAGTTTTTTTTTGAGACAGGGTCATACTTTGTCTCCCACTCTGGAGTACAATGGCACGATCCCAGCTCACTGTAGTCTCAATCTCCTAGATTCAAATGATCCTCCTGCCTTAGTCTCCCAAGTACCTGGGACTACAGATGTGCACCACCAAGCTGGGTAATTTTATTCTTTGTAGAGATGAGGTCTCACTAAGTTGCCCAGGCTAGTATTGAACTCCTGGGTTCAATACTGGGTTCAAGGCGGATTCTCCTGCCTTGGCTTCCCAAAGTGCTGGGATTATAGCATGAGCCACCGCGCCCGGCCTACTTGCTGGAAAGTTTCTTAAGTTGGTTAGGGAGCATCTGTCACAAGTCTCAGTTAATAAATGATTTTGGTATTTCTCTTCATCTTTGGGTGACAAGAGGGTATTTTCTCCTATAATCACATCTGAAAATTTTGTGGAAACTATGTTTTCTTGAAGAGAGAGGATGAAAGACCTCAGATAGGAAAGAGAGCGAGACAGAAACAGAGACAGACACTGAACCAGGTTCCCACAGAGAGTTTATTGAGGGAGCCAAAGTCAGTCGAAGGACAAAGGAGTCCTACTTCAACCTTCTTCTTCCTTAAAGCTGCTGGCTTCCAGCATGACAAGACTCTCTGGGAAGGTAGGGCCTGCCCCGTGTAGGGCCACATGGAGCTTTTAGACTCCTGCCTCTCACACCATAGCCCGTCCTACCCCAAAGATCTAGACATGAGAGAAGACACAATCCACCTGAGGAGGGTGCTGAGGAAACACCCTTACCTATCCTGCCCTCCCCCAAAGACCTCAGGAAGAAAAGGCCAGGACACATGGCCCTCTGATGGGCCAGTCTAATCCTCAATATGAAGACCTGGGCAATGGGCCTGGCTGGCAGGTTTGTTCAGACCTGCTTCAGGCGTCTACTCTAGGAGTCAACATCTAACATCCAAACATGATTAAAAACACTGAGGACACTTCTCTTGCTGGCAGAGGTCACACCCCAGATAATGGCAGCCCTGCCAGACTCTGGCCAGAGATAGGAACCCAAGCTGACTGGGTGTGAGCACATGAGGAGGCAACTCTGTCCCGTGGGAGGATCTTCCAGGGCTCAGCTGGGGCTCAGAGCCTGGGCTTCTGTGTCTCCCCAGTGATTCCTCCAAACATTCCCCAGAAAGGAGAGAGGCAGAGACCTTATCAAGAGGTTCACCCTGCACAGGGCTGGAGGTCAGATCTATTGGGGTGAAGAAAAAGTGGTAGAGGAGTGGGGCACTGGGGTGGTGGCGCTGGGGCATTCCTCAGACTCTGGCATGTCATCCTGGAAGTACTCAGCCTGGCGGTACTGCCACAGACGCAGGTTTCCGTCCCACTGCAGGGCAGAAGGTGGAAAGTAACTAAGGGTGCTATCCCCTCCCAGCTCCAAGCCCCAGACATGTGCCAGCCCACCTAACCCTTGCAGCCTCACCGAACTGCTGACAATTTTCTCCTCGAAGGGGTGCCAACTGACGTCACGCACACAGGCCTTGTGGTTGGTCAACTTCTTCACAATGTGGCCACTAAGGAGGTTGTACACTGTCCAGGAAAGGCCAGAGTGGAGAGGGCCACCATAGGATCTCCAAACTATTCCTCACCTCTCCCTGAGCAGGATCACTGACCTGTCTCTCAAGCAACTTCCCACTTTCCCATGGGAGCAAAGCCCACACCAGAGGGATGTGTTAATTGTTTCTTTTCCCTGTTCCCTTCTCTACCTTGAGTTAAAGGTATGGTCTAGTGGAGTATGGCTATCTCTGGCTCTTAGCTAAATTTCTAGGGTCTGTAGTTAAGAAGATGAAGTGGCTTATTTTTTTTTTAGTTGGAGTCTCACTCTGTCACCCAGACTGGAGTGCAGTGGCCGCTCCCGGCCACCGCAGCCTCGACCTGCTGGGCTCTGGTGATCCTTCCACCTCAGCCTTCCGAGTAGCTAGAATTACAGGGACGTGCTACCATGCCCGGCTGATTTTTTGATTTATTGTAGAGATGAGGTCTCGCCAAGTTGCCCAGGCGGGTCTCGAACCCGCGGGCTCAGGCAATCCATTCATCTCAGCCTCCCAAAGCGTGGGATTACAGGCTGAGCCACTGAGCCCAGCGTGAAGTGGCTTTAAAGCTTCTAGCAAGACGTGGAAGGCACGGCAATAGTGAACACCAACATGGAGCTTTTAGACTCCTGCCGGATTGTGCAGGTATATGCGCCTGCTGTTCCTTGTTTGGACAGGGTGCATCTCTTCTTCATCCGAGGTCTCCAAGTGTCTTTCTAGGTACAGCACCACTTTAGGCCCCTGACATCTACAACTGTGCCATGTTTCTGTCTCTGCATTCCTCCTGCTTCAGTGACTGCATGTCCTTTACTATTTGCTGCTGTCTTCTTGTGTCATTTTCTGTCCCTATTCCCTCCTACTTTTCATCTGCAACCTCTTTCCTTGACTGGCTAAAACAGAGAACCGATTACATTTTTAGTAATCTATTATGTTTACTGACTAGAAATCTACGTTCCTTTCCTTAATCTAAAATGCTGAGGAATAGAATGTTTTCTGTTTCTCTGTTTGAGCTTTCTCTACTCCAAGCTAAATTAAATTCTGCTTGTAGTTGTCACTGGTGCTGATAGGTGGAATGCCAGAGAATCATTCCTGACCTTCCCGAGGCCCCTGTTCTGACACAATCCTTACCAACCACTTTGCCAGTGGAGCAGCCACTGTAGATGAACTGTTGGCCAGTGCTATGGATGGGAGAGAATCGGCAGCGGATGAGAGTGTGCAGCACTCCATGGCCCCTGTAGGTCATTAAGGAGCTGTCCCCTGGGAGCTTCAGCTTCCGCCAGGCTGGGTAGGGATGCAGGGAGAGTGCTAGGTCAGGGATTCTGCTTCTGGATTGTCCTGTACCTTTGCTAGTCCTTAACAAAGATGGGTGCCAAGAGACAACTGCCTTTCTAATCTTCAACTGGAGGCTCTTTCCCTACCTAGTAGTCAGTTGACAGTCACCAACATGGCCTTGCTGGCTATCATGATACTGAAATACTTTTGTATTGGTTGATTCTGAGTGGACCCCAGGCCCTAGCCCTAGGAACCTCTGACCATCTCCAAGGTTCAGTTAATAAAGAATCACTACCTGGCAGACAGTTAGGTGGGGAGAGCTCCAGGACTCCCAGGCCACAGAGAAATCCACTATGTCTACACCAGGCCTTGCTGGTGGTTAATATTTTAACTACCACCCCTGATTCCTCACTCTCCAGATTTCAGCTCTACTTTCACTCTCACCTTTTTTGGGTACTTGCTGCCAACGATAGTCCCAGTTTTGCTGCGTGGCAGCCTGGCGTGAGGCTTCCATGCCTTCCCGGCTGGAAAAGCGTCGGATATCCCAGAGCTTGATGGTCTGGTCTTTGGAGTTGGAGATGAGATACCGCGCATCACCCTGTGAATCCAAAGATGGGTAAGGAAGCAGCTGAGCTTGCAAATGTCAGTGCCTGTCAGTCTAGTTCCCCTCTTCTAGTTGAGCAGAACTCCAGCCCTCTGACTCTGCTTGCCTTTCTCTATCCAGGTGAGCTCACTTTCAATGTTCTGCTTCAGTTACTACCTGGCTAGGCCTTCCTCTCTTTGCCCAGGGCATTAGCTGGACCTCCTACTCTATCCTAGATTAGACCGTCTCCCACCTTTCTTATACAGAAAGCCCTGCCCTGCTCCTTGAGGGCTGCTGGGTCCAGATGGAGTTCTTGTTTCCTGGCTTATACCCCTTCCCTAAACTCCAACTTTTGCAAATCTTGCTGATAAGAAGCATGTCAAGTTCCCACACCAGTCCACTTTCCCACCCTCCTGAGCAACCAGAAGCTCAGCAGCCGGGTTGTGCAGTCCTGCCTCCCTGCCTACCTTGCTGTCAATGAAGGTGATACCATCCTGGTGTCCAGCCAGTGCACCCACGGGCTTGGGGTCATCTTCTCGCATGGTGCGTCGATCCCATACTTTGCAGATGGCATCATCACCCCCAGAGAACAGAATCTGGGAGCTTATATCAGCAAAGGCTACTGCATTCACATCATCCTCATGGGACTCAATCTAGAAAAGGAGGCCAGTATTTAAGACTCCTTTCTAGGTCTTATAATAACCCAAAGACCAGGGCAGAGGCTCTAAGTCTCAGAAGTCATACCTGTAGGGTGCGCCGGTTCTGTTCCCGGTCAAAGACATACAGGCAGCCATCATTGGCCCTGAAAGGGAAGGGATAAGGAGGGTTCTGGAGCCAGGTTTGAGAGGACAGAAGCTAAGTATGCTCTGGAGAATCCCACTGAGAAATTCTCTGAAGTGCACACCCTTGTCTGTTCTTATACAGGAAGTGAGGAAAGAGTTAGCTGTGTTTTCAAGGAGGCTTAAGACCTCCCTCTGGGGAAATGGAGAGCAAGAAGTAAAGGAACTTGTAAACCTAAAGTTGTTCTCCCTAGCTGCCAGTGTAGTCTTGGTAACAGCAGAGCTGACCTCTGGGAGAACCTCCTAACTGAGGGACATGTCCCTCACAAACACTCACCCTCCTAGCACCTCTCGTCCATCTGAGGAGACAGCAATGGAGAAGACAGCAAAGCGACGCTCATCTGGCCTGAAGAAAGAAGGAGCTGGGTTAAGTGGACTTCTTTTCAGTTTTTGTTAACCTACACAGAATCTGACAAGTATTGTATGGCACATCCTAAAGGAAAAAGAAGTCCTGTCAACAAACTCCAGAATGCAGATCACCTCAGTGAGAGCTCAGAAATAATCCTATAATCATCTATTTTACCCTGGTCCTTTGGCTGACAGGATGGGTGGTCCCTCCCAGGAATCCACACAGAGAAACTTGCAACCAGTATACTTTTCTCTCTAAGCAGGACTTCCAACTCAAGAGGTATGCTTCTGCAGAGCCTTCCTGGAGAAGTTTCTGATGAGTCTGACCAGAAAGGGAAGCCAGTACCTTAGATCCAGGGCAGTGTGTGTGTCTCCCTCCCCGTAGATGTTGCAGATATGAACTAAGAGAAGCAAGAGAAACAAGAATCTTTCAGGGATGGGGAAGGAGAGTAGAAGTGAAACTAGGAAAGAGACGGAACAAAGGACAAAGATTTCAGAGCACTCTGGGAGTGATTTTCCCAGGACAAAGCATGGAGTCCTGGCAGAGGAGACGGGCACATGGAAACCTCACATCCCAGGCTGGAGAGACAATAGAAGTCTGGTGCATACTCACTGTAATCAGACCAGCTGGAATAGAGGAAGTGGTTCCCATCAGGAGTGAAGGCCACATCTAGGACACTCCAGCCTACATCCCGGGCCTTGATGCTCTTGAATTTATGAAAGCGGCCATACCGGCAGTCATACAGTCGAATTGTCTGGTCTGTATAAGTAGGGATCAGGCAAAATTATACAATACCCCCTAGTATCCTTCCCAGAATCAGACCTTTCTCACTCAGTGCCTCAGTGGAGTCTTCTCTTTATCATGGGAAACATATTCTGGCTAAGCATCCCTAAGACAGGTCTGAGCTCCTTGAGTCTGGGGCTTTCTAGCCTCAGTCAGGGGGGACTGTTCCTTGTTCAAGGTGAAAGAAGTTTATAGGACCAGGGTAGGTACCTTGGCAAGCAGACATGAAGATTTGACCATCTTTGCTGTAGATGCCACAGAAAGCCTTCTGAGAGTAGCTATCAGTGAAGCCCAGATCATTGGGCAAGAAGCTGAGAAAGGAGGGAGAGAGGGTAAGCGGAGCTCAGGAGAAGGAGTGTCCCAAATAGAAGAATGCTGACAGAGCTGAAATGTCAGTAAAAAGGCATTTTTTTTCCCTTTTGGCTTTGTGTACAATTGTATAATCCCTTATCTGTCATCCATTCCACCATCCTCTAAATTTCTACTTTTTCACTCAAAGCTTCAACCCCATTTAACCTAACTTTAATACTTCTAAGGCTCCTTTAACACTTACCCCTTCTAAGTTTAGGAGGAAAGACCTATCTGGACCTTAGAGTCTCTCCACCGAGCCCCATACTCACTGAGACATCATTCGAGACCGTTCTCCAAGGGAGAAGCTTCCCCGGTGGCAGAGGCCCCGTTCTCTCTAAATGGAAGGGATTGGGGAATATTGCTAGCAGAAACAGAGGGCCACTTCAGCCACATCAAGCCCCCTCCTTCAAAGATTCTCTTGCTATAGAAATGGACACAGCATACAGTAGTCTGTCCCACAGAACTCTGACGCAGGCTGGTTAACTCTTCGGTCCCAGCACTTGAGGCTTCCTTGGAAAATTTACTTCCTTTTTTTCTGGGGCTGGCAAAGTCCCAGAGAGGCAGGTGGAGAGGCCTACCTTGTGCAACATTCGAGGAAAGCTGTGCTCCTGGGGTGCCCGCCTAAGTTCTAACTGCCCTGTGGCCAATTCCACTTGTGTCTTGATCTCATTGCATTCCAGCTCCCGGGTGTCAGGGGTTGCATCCACTGTGAGTACCAAAGACACGTTTCAACCTAGGTCTTCTAGCACTAGAGGAGTTAGCAGAACTGTGCCCAAGCCCACCCGACATGACTGAATATACTGGGCTGTAAGGTCAGGACTCCTTCATTCTCTGAATTACCATATCTTCCATCAATTTAACCTATTTTTCTTCACCAAAATTAGAAAAAGTTTTTCTAATACAAGTTTTCCCATATTAGGGCCTGTTCTGCCTTTCCTCTTACCAGGTGGATTGTATCGATCCCCAAGACGACCATCCCAAGCACTGTCATGCTCTTCCTCTGAGTCCGAGAGAGCCTGGATGAGTTGTAAATTTGCTGCACCTCCTCCCTGCACCAACCTCACTTGGCCTCTGTGGAGAGACCCCCATTATAAAGGAGGGGACCCCTCCCCCCAAACCAACTAAATTCATAGTCAATGGCTATCTAGCTCTTAAACTACTTGGTACTCATTTTGAGGTTTGAGGCTAACTAGACCTTGGCTGTTATTTTCAGTCTCCTATAAGACACAGGGAAAACTGACTCTTTCTCTTAGAGCAAGAGCAGAGAACTTTACTGTGCTGTGGAGGTTGACAGACCTACTAAGTTGACTTTCCAGACAGCTAAAAATTCTGACAGCATTTCCTTTTAAGCCACTGTCTGGGCCTAGTCTAAGCTAGGCACAGTGGTACATTCCTGTAGTCCTAGCTACTTGGGAAGCTGAGGCAGGAGGATCGCTTGAGCCCAGTAGTCCAAGGCCATAGTGTGTGCTATGATCATGCTTATGAATAGCCTGCACTCCAGCTTGGACAATATAGCAAGACCCTGTCTCTGAAAACAAAACAAAAAGTAGCATAATATTCTGAAGGGATCTTCAACCTTATCTTCTCCTCAAGGGGACACAAGCAAAGAAACAAAACCAGCTGTACCCTTTTTCAGTCAATTCCTGGTGGTTACTTCCTTCAAGGCATTCTTTCCTTAAGAACAGGTTAGAGTTAGGGCAACTTAAACTTGCCCTGCAAGTAAATTGACATGGTCTCATACCACTTGTCAACTGCTTTACTAAAGTTCAGTGCTTCTCTGTGCAACACTTCTCTTCATCCCTCACGTCACTCACTGTTTTCTCATCACAACGTTTTTTTGTTTCTGCTTTTGTTTTAGTTTCTTGGAAAATGGATTACACTTGTGTAGTCATAGCTAGAGAAAATCTCCTGAACAGCTCCACAAACACAAGAGCAGGTCCTCTTGGTGACCCTTCCCTATGCAAGAACCACTCTTACTGGGTGTGGAGCTGAGTGCCATGGATGGGTGTCCAGCAAGAAAAGGCTGTTCTGCTCAAACAGAATAACTGTCCTGGCATAATCCCATTCCCTAACCTAATTTTTCTGCCTGGAGTTGGGATCAATGGACTATAGTGGCACCTGGTGGGGTCACAACGGAGGGTAAGTTACCTGCGGAGGAGATAGGCCAGTACCTGGGCCAGATCCACATCTTCATCCTCCTCTTCTTCTTCTTCACTCCTACGCAGGCCAGCTCCTCTTCGGGACAAGCCCTCGGAGGGGTCTCCGGACCCGGATCCTGCGCTGCTGCTGTTCCGTGATCCCATCTTCTGATCACAACATCCTTAGGTCCTGTGCAGGGACTTCTCCTGTTACTCCCTCGGGTTTGGTGAAAGCAAAGCCTGCTCTAGAAATACCAGGGTCTCCTGCGATGGGGCAGCAGCTACCGCTGGGAGAATGACCCTTCCTGGGGACTGAGATCCCTTTTCTTAAAATTATGACAACTCCCAAGGCTTGGGTAACACAAACCTTCTCTAATCCCGTGAAGCAAAGAAAGCAGAGTGAAGCCTAGGGCGCTACCCTAGCTCACCAGTGAGAATCCTTTGAAGAGGAATTTCTCCATTTTCTACCCCAAACTCACCTATCAAAGTCCCTGGACCCGGGAGCGGGAGGGGTGCGGGGGAGTGTTGGATTCCCAGGTAACCTTCCTGATCGACCAATCAAAACCCCTCGCGGAAGAAAGCGCCGCGCTAGCTTATCTTACCCTACCAATCAGAAACCTTAGGACTCAAAGACCCCCCCAACGCCCCCCTTTACCGGCCAATCAGGGCGCTCCCTTGCGAGAGTCGGCAGCAGCAATAGCCAATGAAATTAGAAATCAGTCTAACACCCTCCCCGCCCCCCGGCTCACGCCCACGTGGTGTGCCGGGGGTGTGTACGCCAAGGGGGGGAGGGAGCTGAGAAGCACCTCCCACTGAAGCCGGCGGTTACCGCCCCATGCGAGACCACCCACCAGCCA